AGAGCGGTTAAGGTTTTGACAGTGTCGGTCTGTTCCGGACTTCTATCAAAGCAGCTGCCCCCGCAGACAGATGCGCCGGGTCAGATCTTTTTGAAGCAGTGGCACTTGGAGCTCTTGGTTAAAGGCTCTGCTTCCATCTGGCAGTGCAGCTCCCGTCTGCCTTTCATGGGTCCCAACAGAAGCCCAGTCCCGTGGTTTGCCCGGAAGAAGGCTGAGGACCTGAGCCCAAACTTTGTCTTACTTAAAACTGCAAAGCTGGTGGTGGAAATGTAGATGAGAAGACAGGGTGGGAGGAGACAGAGGAAAACAATAGGGACGGCTTACCTCTGGTTGGTTGGAAAAATTCTAGAGGGGCCACATTTACTGCAGGGAGAGGTCAAAGTGTGTCTGCTCCTGGCTGCAAATACGCCTATTAGGTTTGCTGTTAATAAATATAATGGAGCTGGGGGTGGGGTGGGGTGGGGGGTTTCTTTTTAAAAAATAAAGCTTTGGTTAGTAAAGCCAGAATCTAGAGGGGGCTCTTTTATTTTTAACCCTGAAGAGTTTTTAAGAAAAAAAATCTACTCAGTATATTATCATTAGTACTAATATCATTTTGAAACTTTTATACATAGAGAATAAAGCATGATTTTTCAATGTATACCGAAATTCATCTAGAAATGAAAGAAGTTAAGAAAATCTGAATAAACTTGAACATTTTTTTCCTAAACAGAGTTACTCTCAAAAGCGAGTCATTTTACAATGTGAAAAACTTAACCCTACATTGTTGAGATGAGTAAAAATGGAACAGCCCTGAAAGGTGCACAATGCGTGTGTGTGGGGTGGTGGTGTGTGTGGTGTGTGGGGTGTGTGTGTGTGTGTGTGTGTGTGTGTGTGTGTGTAGCTGGGCAAAGCAGTTTCCCCTTTCTTCAAGATTTGTTGATTTTCAGGGAAAATCCTAGCTCTAGGGGGTCGTTTCCGTATGGGAGAGCGACCGTAAAAAAGCAGTATTTTAATGCCAATCACTGCAGTCACAGTTTATGAACCTGTAAGGGATCAAAACTAGGGACGTCAGAGTCCCACACAGGGCAGATCTGGCACGAGGCGTGTTTTCTTATGAGTTAAGATGAGACGGCGGTGTCGGGGGAGTGGGGGTGGGGCTCTGGATTCTGGAGAATTAACAACGCCCCACGCCTCCCCTTGGGAAGGCCTTGGTGAAAGGGGAGAGAGCTGACTTCCACACCCCGGCGCGCTCCTTCCCCCGCCCCTCACCCGCCCCCCGCCCCCGCCAAGCATCACCCTCGTGATGCGTCTGCAGAAGCGCGAGGCCCCCAGCGAGCCTGGCGCCTTGACTGCCAGCGCGCGGGATCGGGCGGGGGCTGCGGAGAGGCCCAGGGCACATGACGCCCCCCCCACCCCCACCCCACCCCCCGCCAAGGGCCGGCCCAACACATGACCCGGGCCGGCCGGCGGGGTCCAAGCAGACCCGAGCCGCATCCCCAGCACGGGCCATGGCCTCCCCGCGCCTGGGGACCTTCTGCTGCGCCACGCGGGACGCCGCCACGGAGCTGGTGCTGAGCTTCCAGCCGCGGGCCTTCCACGCGCTGTGCCTGGGTAGCGGCGCGCTCCTCCTGGCGCTCGGCCTCCTGCGGCTGCTGCCCGGGCGCCGGCCCGCGGGCCCCGGGCTCCCCTCGGCCTCCCCGCCGGCCACGGCCCGCACCTCGGCCTCCGCCCGCATCCTGCGCGCCGCCGCCGCCTGCGACCTGCTCGGCTGCCTGGGTGAGGGCGCGCCCGCGGGTGGGGACCCGCAGGTCGCTCCCGGCCGGGGGCGTGGATGAGCCCGCGCTGCCCCCGCCTGGGACCTGGTCGCCGCGCGGGTAAGGACGCCCGGCCCACGGGTGGGAGGGCCGAGTCGGAGGCGGCTCCCCAGGGGCCGGACTGGACGACCAGGGGACTCTGCGATACAACATGGTCGGTAAAAGTTCCTTCGGGGGACCGTTGGTTTTTTTGTTTTTTAAACAGTTTGATGTATTTGTTATTGCACTTACTAGGGAAACTTTAGACGGTGCTGTGAAGGAAAACCCAGAAAATACAATGCATCCCTAATTGTACCACTAGTGAGAGAGTAACAGTTAATATTGCGTGCGCGTGCGCGCGCACACACACACACACACACAAAATCGTTTCCAAAATGATTTAGCAGAATCAGGAAGAAACCCATATATATATATATATATATATATATATATATATATATATATATATAAAAATTTCCTTGTACTCTTTGACATCTGCTCATTTCCTCCCTGCCACCCATACTCTACTCTTTGTTTCTATGAATTTGAATATTTTAGTTTCCACATATAAGTAAGACCATGTAGTGTTTGTCTTTCTGTGTCTGGCTTATTTCACTTAGCATAATATCTTCCAGGTTCATTCATGCTGATGCAAATGGCAGTATTTTCTTCTTTTTGAAGGTTAAATTATATATATATATATATATATATATATATATATATATATATATATATAACAATTTTATTTACTTATTTATCTATTTAAGTTTGGGTTTTATACCACAGATGGGCAAACGTGCAGCCTCTAGGCCACATCCTGCCTGCTGCCTCTTATCTATGGCCCAGGAACTAAGAAAGTTTTTACATTTTAAAGTGTTTTTAGAAAAATGTAAAGAAGAAGACTGTTTCTGACATGTAAATATTCCATGAAGTGTAAATGTCAGCGTCCGTAAGTGGAGTCTTATGGGGATACAGCCATGCCCTGCACTTGTGCATGGTTTGGGGGCATCTTGGCCCTACAAGGGCAGAAGTGAGTGCTAAACAGAGAAACTATGGCCCGTAGAGCCTAAGATATCTTCTCTCTGGCCCTTTACAGAGACTTTGGTGACCCCTGCTTTCAACTCCAGCATGGCACATTTGACAAACCTCTATGCTAGATATTGCCAAGCATTTTAACTTTTTTATTTTGGAAAAATTTTAACATATGCAAATGTAGAGAGATTGTATAACAAACTCCCTGTACCCATCACCTAGCTTCATCTATACCCCATCCCCGTATCCCACTCTCCACTGGATTAATTTGAAGCAGATTCCAGAATTTATATCATTTCACCCACACAAATCTCAATATATAGCTGTAAAAGATAAGAATTTTTAAAAAACATATCACACAGATATCATTATCGCCCCAAAATAATGAAAACCAGTTCCTTAATATCACTGGTGTATGTTCAGGTGTCTCATAAATGCTATTTTACAATTGGTTTGTTCGAATCAGGGTCCAAATACTGACCATGTTTTGTAATTGGCTGACAGGTGCTGGCATTTTGGAATTGTATCTTTCAGTCATGTTTGCTCTTGAAGTAAAGGCTGCTGGTGGTATCTGAAGTGCCTTCCACCGCTCTGCAGTGAGGGGGTGGCAGCAGCTTCTGGGGCACCTTGAGTGCTTCTCTGGGCACAGGTGGCTGTGTGTCCCAGGGCCTGATTCTCCTGTTCCTGGTTGTGTGATTGGAGACGCTCAAGAATCTTGGCTTCAGATAAATGCTATGGAACCTCTAGTCACTTGCTTAGACTCGAGGAGTAAGACAGGAAAAGCTATAGCGATAAAATCAATTTGATGCAGGACAATAAAATAAAAAATTGGCTTTCTTCCTGATTCTGCTAAAGCATTTTGGAAAAGCATCTTAATAATAATCTAGTTTCTGTAACTTGAATATCTGAAAATAGAGCTGCACCCAAACATCTTTTGAAGGTCAGCAAAATAATATTCGTATATCCTTTGGCCTTTAGCAGGTAGGTGCATGACATTGCGGGCAAATGGGCAGAAGCACGAGTCGGGAAGGCTTGGTGACCAGACCTCCTCACTGAAAAATAAGAAATACAGGACTTCCCTGGTGGCGCAGTGGTTGGGAGTCCGCCTGCCGATGCAGGGGACACGGGTTCGCGGCCCGGTCTGGGAAGATCCCACATGCCACGGAGCGGCTGGGCCCGTGAGCTGTGGCCGCTGAGCCTGCGCGTCCGGAGCCTGTGCTCCGCAACGGGAGAGGCCACAACAGTGAGAGGCCCGCGTACCGCAAAAAAAAAAAAAAAAGAAAAAGAAATACAGATGCCTATCTCACGGGGTGGTTTTTTTCCCTCAGTTTTTTTTTAAATCTCTCTCTTTTTAATTTTTTTTTTGGCCACACCGTGCAGCTTGCGGGATCTCAGTTCCCTGACCAGGGATTGAACCTGGGCCACGGCAGTGAAAGCACAGAATCCTAACTACTAGACCACCAGGGAACTCCCTCCCCAGTTTTACTGAGATATAACTGACATATAGCACTGTATAAGTTTAAGGTGTACAGACAGCATAATAACTTACATTTATCATGAAATGATTACCACAACAAGTTTAGTAAATATCTATCACCTCATATAGATACAAAAAAAAAAAAAGTGTTTATCGAGCTCAAAGCAGAGCTCTGTACTGAAAATGAAAAAGCACTACGTGGAAGCAAAGCATTATTTTTGTTATCTGTGCTTAAGAATGAGAAGCTATATCTTAGGCTTTTAGTGTTCATACTCACCCTTTAGTGGTATATGACACAGTGTATATTTGGTAGCATGTGACACAGTGTATATTTCTGTATGTGAAATACACACACTACACTAGTGTGTAACTCTGTACTGCTCACAGGTCCCCTTGAGCAGTGTGTTACATAGTGAATGCTTAAGCAAAGGCTATCTATCGAATTACTTAACAAAGAACCCTAATATATACCTTACGTGTGTATACTGTGTTGAGGAGAATTAGATATTTGGGTCAAATAGCAAGTAAAACTCACAAATAATAAATGTCAAAAGTAGATTATCAAGAGCTAATTTGTGAAAATCTTAAATGTATATTTTTTAAAGAATGAAAGAACTATCTTTTTAAACCTCAGAATGTGCTTTTTCAATCATTCTTTTTTATGTGAGGACTAGTTAACTTGGTCATTAAAAATATAGCCAAGGGGCTTCCCTGGTGGCGCAGTGGTTGAGAGTCCGCCTGCCGATGCAGGGGACTCGGGTGCGTGCCCTGGTCC